CTGGGAGTTGAAGTCCACTCATCTTAAAGTGGCCAAGTTTGGACAACACTGTCTTAAAACATGGTTTTATCAGCAGGCATGGGGATCCCTGGCTAAAAGGGAGCCTACGAGTTGGTTTTACTCTGTGTGAGATTCTGATGCATTCTCCTGCTATCTTGTTTATGTTTAATTGTTTTTACTGGTTATTTAAGATTGTTTTAATTGTTGGTTTTATTGTACGCCACCCAGAGTCATACCCATGGAAAGGGTGGCTATATAAGTTTGATGAATAATAAAAATGGGAAAAAAATTAAACGTCGCAGGGCAGCTGGGGAAGAAATGGAAGGGAGACTAGACAGAGTCTAGAGACAGAAGGCAAGTCAGTTGATGCTTCTCTCATTACTGGCAATTCAGCCCTGAGGGCTCCGGGTTTGGGGATTACCTAAAACGCCATTGTTTTGGTGCAAACGTCTGTCCTGCATGTACGGGGTGAAGTTATTATTAACAGCCCAGAGTCTCTGGGAGTTGGGCAGCATGTAAATTTCATAAATTATTATTACTGTTATGGGCAATCTACAATTAAATTCACAGTCTAAGACTGGTGGAAGCTTAATCAAGTCCTAACCAAGGACCAAAGGATTATTAAGGTGGTATCTAAGCATATAGGCAGTTCCTAGCAGGGTGTTTTTTTGTGTTATATGTTAACAAAAACACAGGTAAAAAAGCAAAATGCCAGTAGCAGAATTGCCTGGAAAGAAATAGCAGGAGGAAACCCCATCAGGAGATAAATGGTATGAGTCCAAGAAACAAATGTCATCAGAACATGGACAGAATTCCTCTTTCCGTCTCGGCTTGTGTTGGGAAGAACTTCATTCAGCTCAAGGTGGAGAATGAGCTGAAGAAAATGCCCAAGGCAGGGTCGTGAGAATGTGCCAAAGAAAGCTGAACTACAGGAAGAAAGATGGGAATCTTCGGGGTCTGAAAATGGAGATTTGCACCGCCTCTCGAAATTCACAGGCCAGAGCACACCCACGGCCACAACCCCACCACCTCACATCCGATGGTCAGCTGATTTGTGAGAATGGATTAGCGGTTAATCCATATAAGCATATAAGGGATCGTGCAAGAAGAAATATGTGTACCCAAATCCAGACAGCTGACTATCGTGAACAAGTCTCAAGACTTGGTCTGTGTGTGTCGTACTAAATGGAACTGTGATCTCAAGCAACCCAACGTGACAAACCTGAATAGGAAATACAAGGATGAATATCTAAAAATTGGGTTTTATTGGGCTGGAGATTCCCAAGTCCCTTAGATTCAGAGGTATCCATACAAGAGCAATCTTCGCTAATGTTTGTTATGAGGTGGGGTATATGAGGTAATTCAAGTGATCGATAAATATTTTAATTTTGATTTTTTTTTTAATGTGTCTGTGTGTAAAGATTTAGTTTCAAAGGGGCTTTAGAATGGAGGGGATGGGAAGGCATATAAAAAATGCAAGCATAGTCAATCTCTTATTTACCAGAAAATTATATCCTGTGCTCTTCTAGTCAAAACCTAGGAAGGAAGTTGTTCATTAATTGGATAGTTTCCAGTTTTTCTGGAAGTTTATTTAGTGATCCAAGATTGCAGACCCTTTGAGAAACAGTGTTTCTCAACCTTGGCAACTTTTAAGATGTGTGAACTTCAGTTCCCAGAATTCTCCAGCCAGTATGCTGGCTGGGGAATTCTGGGAGTTGAAGTCCACACATCTTAAAGTGGCTGAGGTTGAGAAACAATGTTCTGAAAGCTCCAAATGAACCTACTGAGTTGGACTGAACATGTACAATGATCACAAAGTATATATAATTCTTATTTAGGCATGGTAGTTTTCAACACCAAGAGCTGTTATGAAACCGATCTGAATATCTCATAGTTGAGAAACTTTCCAGCAAAATTTAGAGTGTAGGAAAGAAGACGATAAGAAAACTCAATGTATGCTTTGATTTAAGTGGAATATTGGTTTAGCTGTCAAAGCAAATGTATAGGAGAGACAGTTTACAATGGCCCTCAATGTGAAGAAAGCATCTTTCAAAGATTGTGTTTGATGATCTGTTTGCCAATTCACGCAGGAGAGAAACCTTGCAAATGTGGGGAAAGCTTCATTCGAGGAGCCAGAATGAGACATAGAATTCATACTGGAGAAAAATCTTTAAAATGCTCAGAATCTAGGAAAAGATGAACCTGAATGAAAGACAAACCATCAGAGACTCCATTCTGGATTTAATCTTAAAATTGCTAAAGAGTTGAAAGAACTTGGAGAACGCATGAAGGAGACAGAACACTGAGTGGACTTCAGCAGCAAAGGTCTTCTCATTAACGATTCAGATGTAAACGTAGGGCAATCATTGGTTTGTTTCATTTCAAATCCAGTTTGCTAAAATCAAGTGGAATGCCTATTGCTGCAATTTGCAGTGGATATTAAATAGCCAGGATATTAGAGGAACTTCTCTCTGTT